ATCTCTTTTGGGCATTCACCCCACTTGGACTATCAAGTGACATACCAAGGAGTTTGAGAGTCTCAAGAATGTAGTTGATGCCATTACAGTGTGATTCAAAATGATAGCAAGAAAGAATCCTAAGGAGGAATTGGTGTTTTCCACATTAGAGGAACAAATTTCATATGCAGATGAATCTCAGTGCTGGCAACTTGATGTAGCATGTGACAGACTAAAGCTCTGCCACTCTCTTACCCTACATGATGCTCTTGAATCATGGGGGTTTCAACATGTATAAAACATCCATTAGCAGCCCCTTTGTTTACAAAATTGAAGCTGCAAGTGCTTGGGATTCTGGGTAGACTTTGTGGTGTAACACTGAGAGACAAAGACAGAAAAAAGAGGGGTCTGGGTTAAACCTCACACATGATAAAATCCATGATTGATACTGGAATCAGTTCCTTTAATTAATTGTGAGGGTCCTGGAGTGTTATGTCATTCTGAATAGTGTAATTTTCACTCAAGGGTTGCCCCTTCAGCAAAAGTGTTCATTGATCAGATAGAAATCTCAAAGAACCTTTCATGGATGCCTTCAGAGCTGAATACCATTCAGATCTTGATATTGATAAAGTTAATGAAAGAAATCATGATACATTGACACACAATGCAATTCCAGCCAACGAGTGAGTCCAGCAGCACGGACATGGACATGTTTTATCATTCTTACACTGAAAATCAGTTTACTGACTACTTTCATGACTTTTTGTAATGTCATCTTCTCTAGAATCAAACTGCAAATGACAGAATCACAGAGAGAAAAGGCAACAGGAGAGGTCAATCTGGCCACGATTTACAAGGAAAACTATATTCATTTGAATATGATGTATGTAGCTCTGTATATCACATGTTGGTTGCATGGCCCAGCCATCGAATCCAGAGTCAAACTAATTGATGCGGGTACTTGGACTCTAACAGGAGACAAGAAATGGCTGACTTTCTGCAAAGCAGTAACCTCTCTCTATCAATGCAACTTTATCTGATTCCACAGAAACAAGCAAAATGAAGGTTTGCAGAAAGTACCTTCCAGGTAGCTCTAGAGGAACATGGTGCATTGGAAAAGCATGTCCAAGACGGTGGATGCAGAAGAACAGCTAGATGCTTGCCCTTTACAAGCAGTGTGGTGGATGTAATGGATATAGAGTTAGAATCTGAATCCTAAGAGGAAACACAAAAGGGAGATGAAATCTATTTACCAGATGGAAGACTATTGAAGCCACCAACTCCCTGATGAAATACAACATGAGAGAAAACCAAATTGCGATGAAGATGAAGGTGAAATGATCAAAGACAAACTGTCAAAAGAATCGTAAGGGATGAACAAACTATGTGCAGATGACTGTGAAGATGTTAACACTGCCTTAGTGAGCCTTGTATTCTGCCAAGAGTTGATCCCTACAGAAAGCTCTCTACCGGAGACTTGATTTAGAAAAATGGGATAAATGGGGCTAATCTGGTTTTATCTCTTGCAGGACAAGTGTCAGAGTCAAAGATCTTCCTATCACTAAGAATGTGCAGTGACTTCACATATGTTGTCTTGTTTCCATTCAAGTTGCCAATGAGTTACCTCGCACAGATTTTGGCCAAGCACTGAAATCTGATACACTTGAAAGTAGGACTGGTTCTTTAATATAGTTTGTGAGTTAGCTGAGGGAACTGGTAAAACAGGATCAATTGGTACCTTGCAGTGTTCTACAGCATTTTCTTTTCTATTTATATCCCAGCAACTGCTTGGATGCAGACACACCAAAGTCTTTGCTGGATTGGACATCTGAGATCTTTGCAGAATCTATCCAATATTTGAGTCTTCACTTGACTACTTTGGACCAACAATCTTTCAGACTTTGTTGATTGAAATCGAATCAGATATTCTTGGGGAGGAAAATGTAGTTGAGGAGTCACCTGTATTACAGTGTTTGGAGGATTGCATTGATACTTTCAAAGGCAATGGGAACCTGATTTGAGTTAGCTTGTCTCCTGCTTGATGTTCTACAAACAAACTTTTTGTGCCCCAGAGCTTTCCCTTGAACAGCGACACACACTAGAAAGTGTTAAAAAGTGTGACAAAATCTTTAAATCAGATGGATTAACCTTACATCATTTTATTTGCACTGGGCTACCTAGGAAAGCTTTTTGATACATCTTGCCTCGAAAGTTGAACAAAAATATGGCAATGGATGCACACATCATTCAAAAGGTTCATGGGATTTTCAGCTGTGTTGAATCTGATACTGATTCACTTAAAACACATGAGAACAAAGTCCCTACAAACTTTCCTTTTTGAAAGTCATTACTCAGGACCCAACCCTAAAGAAGTGGATGAAGTTGTCAGTGAGTATTCATCAGAGTGGCCGTTTGTCAGTGAATTTCAAATGAAAGATGAACATAGATTCTTGGCTTTAGAACTGTGTCCCATGGAAATGACCTATCAGGATGTCTATACTCTGGATTCTTGATGCATATGATTTATTACCCAAAGACAGCACACAACTAAAGAAAATACTTCAAAGCATAAAATCAATCCTGAAATTGTGTATTACGGTGTCTTTGCTATTGCTCTTCAGAAAATCTATGTTGTTCAGAGGTGTCTGTAAGAATTACTGATACAGAAAGAAACGAGAAAGTGAAAGAGTTCTGAAAGAATGTCATGTCAGATTGTTTGACAATCAACGACAAATGTTCACAAACTTGTGTACAATGGACGATTTTGCATTTCTGTTATTTACAGACCAATCAAATAAATCAGCAGAAGACCACCATTTGTCAATGTGCATTTTGCACTTGATATGCGCTATCCTTGCCTTTAATTCAAATTATGGAGTGGTGAAGTCAAAAAAGTCCATTTTGGCTGAGGTGTATACAGGCTCCAAAAGATTTACAAAAGATCTATCTTCCAGGATGTGGTTATAAAGAAGGAGACTTGTGCTGCTGTACATTAGCCACATTGGTCACAAAGAAGACAAAAGTATGCCAGGATCTAACTGTTCATGTAAAAGTGTTACAATCCATGATGTGACCATAGAGACCATCAGTGCAGCATATGCCAAAGACCTCTGCTAAGACAGTGATTTGTGTCGTATTTCAACCATGGATAGTACAGGTCATGACAGACAAGGGTACATATTTGTTGATATTGGATGCCTGAAAAGTGAATATGTATCTGTGGGAAGTCTGTCTCCTGCTGCATTCCAGGTCCTACAGTTATTTGTACATGGCTGTTATTGTGCATCACTAGCTTTAAAGTTTACAACTAAGGAAGAACTTTCAAAAGCAATGCACTTGCCAGAATCTGTTGATCCTTCAAGCTACATTGAAAATCATCTTCATGTACACTGGTGTGCTTTGAAACGTTTGACTGCACTTGGTGATTCTCAACTGTCAAAACTGTTGAACTTTATCATCAAGGATTGCATGCCCTCATTGCTAGACATAATGTTCTAGTTTCATAGCAGAGATGAGCGTGAATCATGCTGAGAAGGAATTTACCACATGTATTGATAAGATCATGGAGAAACGGTTCCAAATTGTTCAGGGATGAAACAAAAACAATACCATGCTAGACATTCTGACAGCACTGCATTTCAAGGCATGAATTCACTCTTGGCTGAAATACCTTGGGATGAAGACAGATTGGCAAAACTTCCAAGATTACTGAGAGATCATATAATCCCACCACAGAGAACTTGCAAAGGAATTTCACATCTGGGAAACAAGTGCATGAATTTCCCATGATGGCATTGCTGTTTGATAGACTGAAACACATATCACTCTACAGCATTTGATCCCAATTGTACAGTGGCATAAGTGTGTCATTAGATTTGGTAGTCACAAGCTGACAAGAATGAGCTGCAGGACTGAGACAGTTCAAGATTTCATTCATGCACCTCGACAGCAGCCCTGAATGCAGATAGCAAGAAAGGCAGAGTTGCAGAAGAAATTTGACACTTTCATGAAGTCCTGGAATACATTGAAAGATCATCATGATGATCTGAAGACTTTACAATCAACATTTGCCAGAATTAAAGAGAATTCATCAAACCATCTTACTTCAAGATTGTTTAATGATGACAAAACAGTCTCCTATGATGCAGTTACTGTTGGCATTGCAATCTATCCAGAATGACTTTCTGTCAGACGCAGCAGCTTTGTGTTTGTCTACAAATAGCTTATCTATAAGCTTTCTCAAAAAGCGTCACCTGGGGTTGCAGTTGTATCCTGAAGTGCAACTGCAACACCTCAATTGCAAACAGGTTATACCAGTGCCAGATTTGACAAGTACTCTTAAATTCTCACAGATAAGTACAAAATTTGGGCATGGCAGAGAAAGACACTATGACATGTACCAAATTGAAACACAGGTTGTTGATGAGTGTGTACTGAGCAAGCCAGTGATCAAAATTGGATCAAGTTTTCCATTGATAAACTTTGCTGGTGAATCATTGCATAAAACAGATGAATTGTTTGAAAGTGTTTCAAGGACTGTTGGTCATGATCCTGTTGACAAAGATTTGAAGAATTCCATTCTTCAAGTGAAAGAAAAAGTCCATCAAATATGCAAATACTTTTAGATTATTTGCAAATGACATTTAGTTTACTGAACAGAACCCCAGTATCTGGCAGTGACAAAAGTCAGTACTTGAGTGAATTCCTACAAACATGGCAGTCCTTGTTCCCAAACAGAGTAAAGGAAGTGGATGGATTATGTAGTAGAATTAGACTATGTCAAATCATTTCTGTGTATGAATTCACAGAAGATATTGTGGCTGATGTCATTTTTGATGGCCTCGAAGAAAAATACAGGAGTGAACTACCGGAAGAATGTTTAAAGCAGTTGAGTGCATTGGTCAAGTGCTCTGGTTTCAAATTTCAAGAAGCATTAATGTCTGCTTTGAAGAAGATTGTATTTCGGTATATCCAGTCAGGATTTGCCAGCCAAGATGAGCAACTGGCGCCCTTTGCTCATGGAGAAAACTCTGTGGCCGAGGGGAGTTTATGAAGATGCAGTTGCTAAAAGTAGAAATGCAGATGCTGGACTACTTCATGATGCAAACTGCATTGAACACATTCACTGTACCATTGTCTTCATCGCTGAAAGTGTTCAGGTAAGTACAAGTGCAACACTGATTTAATATGTTATTGCCTTAAGTTTTCTTAGTTGACGTTATCTAATATTCTTTAAGGAAGGAAATGCCTGTATTTCGATAGGATAACTTCAAAACTGTCTCTGTGGTGATTTCAGTCAGTGGTCTTCTTAATGAATTTTTGAGTTACAGTTGTCCATTTGCCTGTCTATTCAACATAATCCTCAGTCGAGTCAAAATATGCCTGCCTGCAATATCAGATCAATGGGATACGTTTATACATGCTCCATGAATGGAGACCAGCCTCATGGAGACGAGTATGCTCCAGTGAAAATGTTAACACCAGTGGCATTTTTCAAGTCACATCTGTGTAGTGGCAGGCACAAAGTGATGATGTCTTGCTGCCCATGACTGCACATCCTCTGTCCATTCACCATGATGCCAAATATTTATAAGCCAGGGTTATATGTCTATTTTGAATACATATTGCAAAATAAACAACAAGAGAAACATGTAAGGGAGTGCACATAAGCAAAGATGAAACATATTCATGTGATTGCCATTTTGGGGGTTATCACATAACAAAATCACAGACAATGATATAAAACAGTGATTTTGAAATGCTTACCCCAACCAGAAATACTATTAATATTTTCAAGTTTGTTCTCCTCAGCTCCATCACTGACATTGTGTATGGTTTTAATAAACTCCTTCCATGTGAAAATTTCTTGTGTCGATCAAGCTCTAATCTTTTTTATCACAATATGTCAGATTTTGAGTCCACCTATACTACTTCAACTTACAAATATGCTGTTAACACGTCATATTTAGATCACTTGTCATATAACCTACAGTTTAATTTTGCAAAGGGTTATTAATTAGTACATGATAGTTGTTATTTATTACACTTACAACTGTCTTGAGGTATGAAATCAAATTTCATTCTGTGTTACCAGGAACTGAAAATGAAGGAGGAGAAGAGATCATCACGGTTTTATCCTGTACCAAAGCAGATGGAGAAGAAACAACAACGTAAGAAAGTGCGCTTTCGGAAGAAGTAATAAAGACTGGTAAAATCCTACCTTTGACAATCTTACTGGAAAACAAGGATAAGTTGGACCGGCACAGAGAACACATTTACAAGTAGTAGGTGGTGCACGGCAATGAGCAAACCCATTTGGTTTGTGAAAGGTAGTGCAGATGTAGGTTAGTGCACGTGCAGTGCATGAGGATGAAATTGATTCCACGCGTAGCTGGACACACCTTGCTCATAAGACTCTCACGTGGTCGGTGTAACAAGTCGGACAACCTGGGGCCCCTTCACTCACAATGGCAAGCGCCAGTTGGCGGCACTCATACATGCTGATACAGGTCAATTGTAAGGTCGGTTCTCAACTTATCCTTGTTTGCCAGTATGTTGTTATCTAACTAATCTCATATCATTTTGAATTATCAAATGACACTATTTGCATTAAAACTCCTTTTATTACAATTTTTAATTCTGGATGATAATTATCCCTCGCAACACGTTTTGTGGGGGGTATTAAAATGTACCTGTCCGTTCGTCTGTGCACATTTGTCTTTTCCGGAGCATAACTCTAAAACCGTTCACTATTTCTTCACCAAACTTGGCACATAGATAGATCTGGTGGTCTGCTGGTGCCTTTTGGTAGTTTTGGATTTCTGAATAAAATATTTTGTGCGTTTCCATGGCAACAAGTTTGACTTAGACTGAAATCGGTGGTAGTGCTCTTTTCCGGAGCAGACCTCTAAAACCTTTCAATGTTTCTTCACCAAACTTGGTACATAGATAGATCTGGTGGTGAACTGGTGCCTTTTGGTAGTTTTGGATTTCTGAATCAAATAGTTTTGGCGTTTCCATGGCAACAAGTTTGACTTAAACTGAAATTGGTGATAGTGCTCTTTTCCGGAGCAGAACTTAAAAACCGTTCACTGTTTCATCACCAAATTTCAAGCATATGTAGGTCTAGTGGTGAACTGGTGCCTTTGGTAGTTGTGGATTTCTGAATAATTTTTTTTTTTTGTGGCGTTTCCATGGCAACAATTTTGGCTTCAACTGAATTTGATGGTAGTGCTCCTTTCTGGAGCAGAACTTTGAAACCTCTCAGTACTCTCCTTCCACTTTTCTATATACACGCCAAAACATTTGACATAATCATAACTTGTAGACATATTCATGAAGAGTATTTTGCCATTGCGGGGGATATTGATGACTTTGTCTTCTTGTTTGATGTGCTTGTGGTTGATTTAGAAGATAAAGCTACTCTGTTTTTAATTTTGCGGTCCTTTATCGTTGATTCAAGTTCGCTAAATGTAATTTAAAAACCCAAACCCAGGTTTATATTCAGTCATCTTTTTAACACTCTAAAACCATTTGAGCAGAAACCAAAAGAGGTTTAGAATATTAAGGATAAAGGCGCCTTTCCCTATGAAGTGATAAATGAAACTTAAATTTGATCTGGATTTTTGATATTTGCTTTGGCAAAAATAATAGTACACGTATATAGTATACACGTATATAGTACACAACTTGTGCTCAATGTGCATTACATGCACTTCGTCAAATGATGACACTGACTTAGGTTGTTTTTATCCCAAATTAAACCGTTGCGGCTATCATGCAATTCATAACATTATGAAATGGTTCTGTTTCATATACTATTTTACCATAAACATGTTTTGTGTTTTGAAGTTTTAGGTCTTCTGAGAGAAAGTCAAATGAGCTTATGTCGTTACTTATTTATTTATCAATTGTCATTGTTTTAAACATCTTCACCTCAGAAAGGGCCATTCAGTTTCCAATCTTTCTGTCATCTTGAAAGTTCTGTTTATTCACAGAGGGGAATGTTTATCACCCGATGCATCTTACAGAGCCTGATTGCTTAAGCAAGTAATTATTCATTTTGAAGATAGTGATGATTTGATGGCTGCATTGCAGTTTGCTGACACTTTAGGGTACTGTGACGCATGATATGCTGCCCAATGTCTGTTTAGAGCCTATTCTTAGTACATTCACCTGCCTCAGATTTTCTAGGTTTAGGTAAAGTGATGGTTTGGTCCACAACATGCACACATAATTATCAAGAGTCTAAAATACAAATTCAGGTGAGCAACAGCACCTTGTGGCTCTATTCTATTACTTGTCTTTTGGTTAATGCTTTTTTTGAAAGGTCATTTTGTTTCTTTTAGGTTCACAGAAACTGAAGACAAAGGATAGAAGACAGGTGTTTGTGCATGAAATGAGTTGAATAACTTATGAAAAGAAATTGGAGCTATGTTTGTAATGAGGTACATCTTCATCATAGACTGAGTTTGAGTGTGTTATAATTTGTTTTATGATTAATGCATCTATAGCATTACTTATGTATATTACATGTATTACTTATGCATATCATGTTTCATTTCTCTATGTACTTATATTACTATTGGTAATGAAACTTGAAACCTAAAATGATAGAGGTATTTGGTGTCTATGTTGTTTGTAATTAACTGAACTGTATGTAATATGCTTATGTTTGTGCAGTTTTGTTCTGACTAATATTGACCCTCTTGCAGAGGCCAAATTGGGCCCTCAGTTATTTGAACCTGTTGTTTATTATAGCCAACCAATCCCCACATGTCTTTGCTGATCCAAACTAGTTTATTGATGTCTTCAGTCTTGTCCCGTAGATATGGACTACTTTAATTGGATATATATTTTTCAATTACATATCTGGACAAGAAACCATTTTTAAGTTTTTCACCTGCATTTAAATTTTTTAAAGCTCTGATACACCAACATGCAGTCATGCATGTATGTGCCAACTTGAAAATTTTATTGATACCAGCAACAAAACAAAGAAACTACTGATATTGCCTTATCAGTATTCCGTAAATATGGAAATAATGTTCTGGTTTCTTAAAAATATGCCACATGTCATGACCTTGAACAAATCTATTGATGTTGATATGCACCTAAAACTCTTGTACACTGGTATCCTACAGATATATCCTTTCCTATGTGACCTGCTCATATATTATTCATAAATGACTTAAGTTTACATGGCCTTGAAAAAATATTATTGATGTAAATATGAACCTGAAAGATTTGTATCTTGGAAGTAAACCTATTGTTAATGATATTGTTGATTTCAAGATGGACCTGATACACCACTATCACACAAATATTGCTATATATTGAAGTGACCTAGACAACATATTATCACTTTACAGCACCTTGTCAAAATATTATTGATGTAAATATGGACCTAATAGAGTAGTATTTTACAAAATGAATCCTGTCTTGATATAACTCTGATGAAATAGTATTGATGTAGATATGTCCTTGATATACTTGTATGTTTTAGACTTAATGTATCCTGAGCTTTCCATGGTGTAAATATGGACCTGATACACAAGTAGCATGCAAGTATACCCTAAATCTTTGTTGAAATATCATTGATGTAAATATGGACCTACTACACCAGTATGTTAGAAATAAACCCACTGTTGATGTTACCAAAAGAGAAAGATGATTATGTAAATATGGACTTGATACACTTGTATCTTTCAAATACACTTGTATCCTGAGTTTTCCTTGGTATAAATATGGACCTGATGCAGAAGTATCGTAGAATTAAACCCAATGTTGGTGTAACCTTAAAAGAAAGATGATTATGTAAATATGGACTTTATACACTTGTATCTTTCAAATACACTGTGTCCTGAGTTTTCCTTGGTATAAATATGGACCTGATGCAGAAGTATCCTAGAATTAAACCCAATGTTGGTGTAGCCTAAAGAAAGGATGAAGATGTAAATATGGACTTGATAGATTTGTATGTTTCAATTAGACACTATCCTGAGTTTTCCTTGATGTACGATGGACGTAATACACCAGTATATTAGAAGTAAACCCAATGTTGGTGTAACCTGAAAAGAAAGATGATTATGTAAATATGGACCTGATACACTAGTATGTTTCAAACTTACTGTATCCTGAGTTGTCCTTGGTGTAAATATGTACCTGATACAGTTGTATCCTAGAATTAAACCCAATGTTCTTGTAACCTAAATTATGAATTATGATGTAAATATGGACTTAATACATTAGTGTCTTTCAAACACACTGTATCCTGAGTTTTCTTTGATGTAAATATGGACCTGATACACTAGTTTCTTAGAAATAAACCCAATGTTGTAACCTTACATATATGGATTATGATGTAAATGTGGACGGATACACTAGTATCACTCAATTAGACTGTATCCTGAGTTTTCATTGATGTGAATATGGACCTAATACACCAGTATATTAGAAACCTGTAACCTGAAAAGAAAGATGATTACTGGTATGTAATAAGAGGCTTGATACACCAGTATCTTTCAAACTTACTGTATCCTTAGTTTTCCTTGGTGTAAATGTGGACCTGATAACCAGTATCACTCAAATAGACCATATACTGAGTTGTCTTTGATGTAAATATGGACCTGATACAGTAGTATCCCGGAATGAAACCCAATGCTGTTGTAACCTTAAAAGATTGGTTATGATGTAAATATGGACTTGATACACTAGTATATTTCAAATACACTGTATCCTGAGCTTTTCTTGATGTAAATATGGACCTGATGCACCAGTATAATACAGATATATCCTTTGCATGTATGACCAACTCAAATATTATTCAAATATACTAAGCTGATGTGTCCTTGCTAAAATATTATTGATGTAAATATGACCCTGAAAGATTTGTATCTTGTGAGTAAACCCAATGATGATATAACCGTGATGAAATATTATCACTTATTATGTTCTTGTCAAAGTATTACTAATTTAGATATGGACCTGATACAGTAGTATCTTAGAAATAAACCCCATGTATGTGTAACCTAAAGAAAAGAATTCTGATGTTAATATGCACTTCATACAGTAGTATCTTTCAAATACACTGTATACTGAGTTTTCCTTGGTGTAAATATGGGCTTTCTACACCAGTATCACTCAAATAGACTATATCTTGTGTATTCTTTGATGTAAATATGGACCTGATACAGTTGTATCTTAGTAGTATCTTAGAAATAAACCCACTGTTGTAACCTAACAAAAAGGGATTTTGATGTACAGATGGACCTAATACAACAGTATCGTAGAATTAAACCCAATGTTGGTGTAACCTGAAAAGAAAGATGATTATGTAAATATGGACTTGATACACTTGTATCTTTCAAATACACTGTGTCCAGAGTTTTCCTTGGTATAAATATGGACCTGATGCAGAAGTATCCTAGAATTAAACCCAATGTTGGTGTAGCCTAAAGAAAAGGATGAAGATGTAAATATGGACTTGATACACTAGCATCTTTTAAACACACTGTACACTGAGTTGTCCTTGATGTAAATATTGACTTGATACACTAGTATCTTTTAAACACACTGTATCCTGAGTTGTCCTTGGTTAAAATATGGACCTGATGCAGAAGTATCCTAGAATTAAACCCAATGTTGGTGTAGCCTAAAAGAAAGGATGAAGATGTAAATATGGACTTGATAGATTTGTATGTTTCAATTAGACACTATCCTGAGTTTTCCTTGATGTAATGTATGGACGTAATACACCAGTATATAAGAAGTAAACCCAATGTGGGTGTAACCTGAAAAGAAAGATGATTATGTAAATATGGACCTAGTGGATATGATATGGATACACTAGTATGTTTCAAACTTACTGTATCCTGAGTGTTCTTTCATGTAAATATGTACCCGATACAGTAGTATCCTACAATTAAACCCAATGTTGTAGCTTAAGAAAATGGATTATGATGTAAATATGGACTTGATACACTAGTATCTTTCAAACACACTGTATCCTGAACTTTTCTTCATGTAAATATGGACCTAATGCACCAGTATTTAATACAGATATATCCTTTGCATGTATGACCAACTCAAATATTATTCAGCAATACTGACCTGATGTGTCCTTGCTAAAATATTATTGATGTAAATATGACCCTGAAAGATTTGTGTCTTGTGAGCAAACCCAATGATGATATAACCTTGATGAAATATTATCACTTATTATGTTCTTGTCAAAATATTACTAATTAAGTATGGACCTGACACAGTAGTATCTTAGAAATGAACCTGATGTATGTGTAACCTAAAGAAAAGAATTGTGATGTAAATATGGACTTGATACAGTAGTATCTTTCAAATACAATGTATACCGAGTTTTCCTTGATGTAAATATGGACCTGATACAGTAGTATCTCTCAAATATTGTATCTTGTGTATTCTTTGATGTAAATATGGACCTGATACTGTAGTATCCTAAAATGAAACCCAATGCTGTTGTAACCTTAAATGATTGATTATGATGTAAATATGGACCTGATACACTAGTTTCCTTCAAATACTTTGTCTCCTGAACTTTCCTTGATGTAAATATGGACCCGGATACACCAGTATATAATACAGATATATCCTTTGCATGTATGACCAACTCAAATATTATTCAAACAATACTAAGCTGATGTGTCCTTGCTAAAATATTATTGATGTAAATATGACCCTGAAAGATTTGTATGTTGTGAGTAAACCCAATGATGATGTAACCTTGATGAAATATTATCACTTATTATGATCTTGTCAAAATATTACTAATGAAGATCTGGATCTGATACAGTAGTATCTTAGAAATAAACCCAATGTAGGTGTAACCAAGCAAAAATGATTATGATGTAAATATGGACCTGATGCATGTGCATGCAAGTAGCATGCAAATATATATACCCAAAAACATTGATGAAATATCATTGACGTATTATATGGACCTAATAACCAGTATCTTAGAAATAAACCCACTCTTGGTGTAACCTAAAGAGAAAGATGATTATGTAAATATGGACTTGATACTCTGTTATGTTTCAAATACACTGTGTCCTGAGTTTTCCTTGGTGTAAATATGGACCAGGACACTAAATTAAACCCAATGTTGATGTTACCTAAAGAAAAGGATTATGATGTAAGTATGGCTTTGATAGATTTGTATATTTCAATTAGACTGTATCCTGAGTGTTTCTTGATGTAACGTGATGGACGTAATACTCCAGTATATTAGAAGTAAACCCAATGTTGGTGTAACTTGAAAAGAAAGATGATTATGTAAATATGGACTTGATACACTTGTATCTTTCAAACACACTGTATCCTGAACTTTCTTGATGTAAATATGGACCTGATACAGTAGTATCTTAGAAATACACCCACTGTTGTAACCTAACAAAATGGATTATGATGTAAATGTGGACGTGATACACTAGTATCACTCCAATAGACTGTATCCTGAGCTTTTTGTTGATGTAAATATGGACTTGATACACTAGTATCACTCAAATAGACTGTATCCTGAGCATTTCTTGATGTAAACCTAAGACACTTTGATGAAATATCATTGATGTAACTATGGACCCTAAGACACCAGTATTTTAGATAATACAGATATTATCATTTGCATGTATGACCAACTCAAATATTATTCCAACAATACTCAGCTGATATGAAATAAACCCAATGTTGGTGT